TATCCACCACAATTTTTTTAGTAATATCGGAAGAACAGCCAGGCATGACACTGCAAGAGTACGCAATCATGATAAATAATTGGTCTGTTTGACTTACTTACACTTTTTTATACTTTTTATACTTAAAATGAGATAAATATATATTTGGCACTGAAAAGAGAAAAAGCGAAGATGGTAAGTGTAAAAAGTGTAAGCAAGTCGAACCGAACTAATATTACAGTCGGAAAATAACCGTTCAAAGTGCCAAGCAGAACAACAAGTTATTAGGATATCAAAATGATTCCAAAATGATTATTAAAAATCATTTTTCAATCATTGCCGATTCGTTTTGATGTCATTTTAATATCGTGGTTTGTTATTCCGCTTGAGTATAAATAAAAAATTCTAAGGAAATACTTTTTTATTTATTATACGTACTTAAGAAACGGGAATATTCTAGATCTGAAAAAAGTAGAAATAAATAACGTGATGACAACGTAGTTTTTATCTTATAAATTGTCCAGAAAAATTTACAAAATGATTAATTTAAATTTAAACATGCCGTTAGTTGAAAAAAACTTACGATATAGGAACACCAACATATACACAATTATCTAACAGCGTATGAGTCAGATATTCAACAGCTATATTATGCGAGCAGTTAAATTGAAAGAATGGGCCTAAAACAAAAATTTTTATTTTATATTATATAATTTATTTTCTACTTATTTGCTACTGCTATATTATACTGACATATTTTCCGAATATTTAATTAAATATAGTAATTAATTACTCACATGCTGGTTGTAAAATGCCATTATTGAACCATAAATTGAGATGAGCTATAGATTTTTGTATCCCAAGAAATGATGAGTGAAGAGCTACTACACGTTCGGCGTCTGTTTTGCAAAGTCTATTTTCGCAATCGTTAAATAAGAATGAGGGACCCGCGGGATCAGTTCCGATGAGTAATGGAATCTTATCGTAATTTGATTTTTGAAGATTCTTCGCAGCGAAACCACTTATATGCGCGCCAAGACTGTGGCCTATGAGCGTGATCTTCTTCAATGAAACATTGCACACGTCCATCACCGATTTGACGTAGCTGAAAGAAAAGTTTTTTACAAATATATATAAACTAAAGACATCGTATCTTATTCGGTTTAACGTCGTCATTTGATTTTTTTTTTATTATTTTTAATATAACATATACAAAGTAATGTACAACATTAAATTTTAATAATCGTTATATCTATTTTACATTATATACTAATTATAGATATTACTTAATTATTATCTAGTATTATATTATTATTTGGAAAATCATTTGAAACTGGAATTAGAATTATTTGAATTTGGATTTATATTTATTATATTTATTATACATATATGTATATCTGTATTATTAAAGTACTGTAAAGTAGCCATACCTTGCCAAGTAGTCACCAACTTCGCGAGTGTTACGTACTGCGAAAGGATACCCTAACAGATTTATGATGACAGGGTCATTATAGCATGCTGCATTAGACCAATCTAACACAAATATCGTACAGTCTTTCTATAGAAAAAGGTAATATTCTGTTAAATTATTTTACTGTAAGCATTACAATATTTTTTTATTACTTATGTAATATACAAAATTTTAAAAATACAGAGAGCAATCTTACATTTTTATTTCTATTTTTATGTATAAATATATTTACCTTTAACAATAAAAAGGTAAGCTTATCAAAATTAGGCCAGTACGAATGTGCAAGAAAACCATGGGTTATAAAGAAGACTGATTTTGATGGGTCGAAAAAATCGCAGGATTTGTTTGCTTCGATAAATTTACCCTGAGGAATGTTACTGAAAGAAATACGAACGTAAATGACGTGAGAAATAAATAAATTAACATTAGATACTAACGTGTATATTTTACCTGGTAAACAAAACCATTGATACCGATGTAACGCCGAAGACACAGGATTTTGTTAAATTTTTAAAAATATTTATATTATTGAAAACGTTTAAATCACTCGCGGCATATAAACACATGTATTGCGTAAGGGAAATTAGAATTATTGTAGTAGTAACGATCTGCATTCTTTGAGAAAGAAGATATTAACAGTCTAACGGACTACTGAAGATATTAATGGATAATGAGAAAAGTTCAAAAAATGTCATGATGTATTAAGCAATAACGTTGATAAACATGTTTTAAAATATTGACATTACAGCATTATTGACAATTGTAAGTTATTTGCTGAGTTTGTCCTAAGTGCGATTGCTCATGACCTAATAAACAATAACGCGATCAAAATGAGAAACCGAGTTGTGAAACTCGTAAGAGAGAATAACCGAATAAAAAGAAAATTATGAAATAAAACTAAGTTAAGGAGACCTAATTGCACGATCGATACAGAGAATCCGATCGCGGATACCCAATTATAATTTGACGAACGTTGACACTGATTAGAAGTTCACGCGGCAAAGATGCGAGATAAATATTGAAAAGCGCGAGCAAGCGAGGCAATCATTGTATAATTCATGCGACGTATTACTCTGTCCTTTCGAGATTCAAGAATAGTAAAAAGTGTAATTGAAGTTTAAGT